TTATAGAATGAACTATATCGATGGCGTGCAATGATCGCAGAATATTCTGATTTTGATATCTTTCTTGCTGGCATTTTTTCACCATTTCTGATTGATCAACGTAAAAGCATAGCACCGTCTTCTATGCAATCAATTGGATCAGCAATTTCTGTTATGGCAATTTTATCTGTCTTTTTCTTACCTGATAAGGTAAATAAATAAATAAATAAATATGGAAATAAGTATCGTTTTTTAAATTTCATATATCAGTAATATTTGATATTTGATATCTGCCAATATATGATATGTTTGCTCTTTTTCCATTTAAGAATTTGAAAATTTAAACAAAAAAAAAAAAGAAAAAGAAAAGAATTGAACTAAATTACTTTGTTTCTAAATTTAATTTCATTGATGCTTGTCTTCAAGTATTTTCATTTTTAGCAATCAGTGTTCTTCATGACTTGGAGTTTATTATCTATTTCAATGGGTGTTTGTGGTGGTTTATCACTTTGGGGTAGTGATTTAGATTCAGTTTCAATGGGTTGTATTGTTATGGCTATTGGTTTAGCAGTTGACTTTTCCATACATATTTGCTATAGATATCATCGATCATCTCAAAAAACAGCAAATGAAAAGGTTTTGTGCTTTATGTTTTAAAAATAAATTATATAATTTGAATTGAATCATTTCTCTTTTTTTTTTTTTTGATGTTTGAATATTTCTTTTTTAAAGGTATAACAGAATAAATTTTAATAATTTATTTGAATAGAACGGTATCATAAATTTGCATATTTTCAGGTACGAGAATCTTTAATGATGGTTGGTTGGCCAGTATTACAGGCTGGTGGTTCCACTTTATTTTCCATGTTGTCATTGCCATTAATACCTGCTTACCTGGTACGCGTCTTCTTTCAAACTGTGATGCTTGTTAATGTAATTGGATTAACTCATGCGCTTTTATGGTTACCGCAATTAATTTCATTGTTAGATCCTTGTGAGCGAATACCACTTAGGTTTCGATATCCTCTAAAAGAGTATGAACCACAATCCTGATACATCCGGTTTTTCCGGTTTTCTTTTTCTACTTTTAATTAATTTGAGTGATACGATGCTTTAGCAATGAATATTTTACTACTGTAGCAATCTTCAATGAAGCTGAAACAAAAAATAATTAATTGATGTATAATATTTTTTTTTTCTTGTAATTTACTCCTTTTAAAATGATGTGCTATATTTACTTGTTCAGTTGTCCAGTTGTCCAGTTCATAATGACTAGGCTTGGCCAATCCATAATGACTAAGCTTGTCTCCAGTCGATTGTAACTAGGCTGATGAAATTTCACCTGCTCTTATGAACATCTTCGAGAATCTCTTGAAATATTCAGGAGATGATGATAAATAAGCAATGTGCGCTCACTCATTGATGTTTACTGTATTGGAGCGGGTCCATTTTGATAAGATGTACCTTCATATTGCTGTTACTGTTATTTTCATACTTACTTAAAGTATTTCAATTCAATTAATTTCTTCATTTAGTTTAATTATCAAATTCAATTACAAAAATACTAATTTATCCAAAAATTTGAGAGATTGTATTTAACAAACGTAAATATATTTGCAGAAAAAAAAAGTTTTTTTTTTTTGAAAGAAAGTAACAGTTATTACTTTATTCAATTTTAATGTAAAAACTCAATTAAACTATTTTCAATTTATTATTATTATATTATTGGTGTGAGATTTAGTTTTTATTGGAACTCATTAAATTTTTTCCGCAAATTTAATCAATTCTAAAAATTTATTCAAATAAATATTACCCATTCCCATTTCTAAGCGAAAGAATTTTAAGTATAATTACTCATTTATCAATTTTTTTTAATTATATCGATAATATTCCTTAATGCTTTATATTTCATTTATTATGCTAATGCTAATATTATGTCACATATTTTCCTTTCTAATTTTTCAATTTCAAAAAATTTACTTTCACTGTTGTATTCATCAATTGTAATACATTTATCACATCTTATTATCATTTATATTTTTATGAACTTATAAGGATTAGGCATCAATTAAGTCTAAGCCAACTCGAAATAGTAAAAAAAAGTTAATTTTGTTTTTTTTTTTTCCTTTTTAAATAACATTTAGATAACAGTAATATATAAAGCATTTAGCTAAATTCATGGAAAAATAAATGATCTAAATTGTTGTTCTAAATTGGTCTCAATAACACCACTAGATAACACTGATATGATAATATCAAATTATCTTTGATGATTTGTATTGTTCTCATTTTTTAACATTTGTCTACAGATATGCTCAATGTGTTGGTGAAGTGCTAATAATTATTTAGCTAACTTGTAATTTGGAAATGTTTAACTAAAATGTTTTTTTTTTCTTTCTAATTTGAATAAATAAAATAAAATGTAAATACTCAGTGATAAAACTTTCAAATATCTTTTTAACAAAACAAAGAAAAAAAAAGCGGCAATAAAATAATGCTTAGCAATGTAACTTTGCATAAATTATTTAATTTAATTAATAAAATTATCAAATCAATAAAATTGTTTATTCGTAACAGAATTTTTTAACAAAATTTTAAATTTGAAATTAAAATTTAACAGAATTTTTTTTTTTAAATTTATACATTTGAAATTATTTCATATTTTCATTTTCTTTATGATTCAACCAATTCTTCATTGTATAACGAAATCTTTGCTTATCTTCACTATCACCTATAAATGTAAAACAACTGAAAGTATTAAAATAAAATTTATTTTCATAACAGATTTTCACTTTCTAATAATTTAATCAATTTTTTCATTCTTTTCTTCTTTTTTTTTTAAAATTTATACAGCTTAATAGAATGTTTAATGAGTGCAAATTTTTTTTGTGCTATCATTAAAAAGTTCAAAAATATGAAACAATTTAAAAATGGTAAAAAAAAAAATTTTTTTTCAGAACATAAAATAATTTTATTGTTATACTTTTCATTTGTGCATTCAATATTCCCACATCAATTTGACTTGGTATTGCTTCTAACATTTGTATTTCCTAAATAAAAAAAAAAAAATTAAAATCATTATTATATGTAAATAAATTCTATTAAATATAGTATTAATTAAATTTTATTAAAATGATGTAAATTTAACTAACTCTGTCAATTTTTTCATCCATACGCATTTCACGAGCAGATAATTTAGCAATTGCATCATCAATGTTTGCATCAGCAGTTAAAGTACCATTTGTTGCATCATTTTCTGCATCTGAGAAATAATTTACTAATTAATTAATTAATCGATTTCATTTTAATTTTTCAATTCATGAAGAATTAAATAATAAATGTGAAAAATGAACAAAAAAGAGAGAAAAAAAAAACAGAAACAATCACTCGTTCTTGCACTTTCTCAAACATTTGTACAAAATAATGAAATATAACAAATAATTGTTATCAAATTAAGCAAAATTAAATTTTTTGTTAAATTATTAAATTAAACTCAATTTTAATTGCTTAATTTACTACTTTACTATTCAGTAAATCAATACTTAATTTAATAAATTCTTGCGTGTTCCGCAAATCTTCTCCATGAAGTGTACTTTTTATGAACTGTAAACGACGATGCAAAAAAAATCTCGAAATTTTGTGTCTAATTAATTTGAACAGTATTACTGATTCATATCGGTACAGATGCTGCAAATAAAATAATAAGAATTGTTAATTGATAATGGCTGAATTTAAAAGGAAAAAAAATTTTTTGAATAATTGTTGAAATTCTTTTCAACTACTCAACAGATATTCGTTTTACTTATTTGTTAGATTTATATGGAATAATAAATCAAAAATATTCATATTTAATTATTTTGATTTTTTAATAATTAAAAAATTTTCACATTTAAATAATAAAATTAAAGTTAAAGAAAGTATTGAAAGTAATTATTATTGAAGAATTGAAAATCCGTATCTAATCTAAAATACTATTCAAATTCTCTAAGGTCTACTCAAATTCACATTTGCGCTCTGCGTAACTTATCATAACTTATCATTTCAGGATAACAATAAGTATTATGAACTAATAAGCTATATGAATGAATCAATCTATTAAATTCAAAAATAATCTTAAAAATTTCCTTTTTTTTTTCTCGATCAATTTATAGCAAATAACAAACACATACTAATTAATAGTTAAATTTAAAAATCTTAATTTTAAACAACATTGTAAGCATTAAGTTGCTATTTATATATGTAATAATCAAAAAAATTTCATTGCTTTGAGATATAATTTTGATGAAAATATGAAAAAGAAATGAAATACAATCAGAAATAAACATTTATTGATGTGATTTATTGCAAATAATCGTTGTTTTTCTAATTTTCTGACGCTTTTTAATAAGAAATTTAAAAAAAAAAAAAAAAAAACAAAGCAACATTTTACCGTAATAAAACCAAGCGCTAATGCAAATAAAGTTTCAACAATAAAGAAAAGTGGGATTAAAACAAAAAATTGAATATAAGATGATTGAGGAGTGAAATCGCCTAATCCAATTAATGTTGATGTCGTGAATGTATAATATAATGAATCGATATAATTCCAATTTCTTGAACGCTCTGCTTCCTAAAAATTAATATACAAAATTAATTAGCAAAAAAAGGAAACATTAATTTATTATGATAAGTAAAAATTTTGTTGAAATTTAATGATAAATATAAATTTTATTCAGCTAATAAATTGCTTTAAATAATTTAATGATATTTAAATATATTTATAAGATATATTTAAATATAATTATTAAAAAAAATATAAAATGAATAATCACCATAACAATAATAGCAATTATTGGAGTAAGCAAGAATGCAATTAATACAATTAATGCAAATTTTTTATATTCGATACATGGATCTTCTGTTGTTCTACAAATAAAAAAAAAAAAGGAATGAAATGAAATAATGAAAATTGATTATTATTATTATTAATTAGAATAAAAGTTAAATTCTGGAATATAAATACTTAATTAGAATATAATTAATTACTTATTTAGAATACGTCGTTGAAAACAGTGCAGTGCACGTTGTACTGTTCGAGCAATTAATTCTCCAAGATCTGAGATAAATGCCACATTTAAGGGAATGCCAATGACAGCGTATATTACAGTTAATATACGACCTTGTACAGTGTGTGGAAACTAAAATACTTATAATTGGAATCATTAAATTTAAAGAAATATTAATTAATTATAATTAATTAATAATATTTAATTAAAACTAATTCATTCACACTTTGTTTTTGTTTTTTTTCCCCCTTTCACTTCTCTAATTACTAATTTTCAATTTGTTAAACTAATTTAATTAATAATTTCTGAGCAAAGATTGAAGAAATTTAGAAGAAAATTTTTCAACAAATCAATTTATTCATTAATTATTTTTTATTTTTTTATATGATTTAGCATATTACTATGAATGATAATAAAACTTGAAAGTGTAAACATGAACAGTAGTAAAAATTAAAGAATATTAAACTTTCTAAAGAAATAACTTTTGCTTATAACTAATTGTAATAACAAAGATAAATGTAAAATATAACTCAAAAATAATATGAAAATTCAATTTTGACAAATAATTTATCAATGTAACAAAGAAACAATCTTTTATTCAGATTTAATTCAAATTTACCAAATTTCCATAACCGATCGTTGTGTATACACCAAATGAGTACAGTGCTGCATTTCCAAAAGCAAATGTTTCCGTTGGTAGCAATTCGAATAATTTTTTTCGATGGCAATTTTCAATCTAAAAGTAAGAATTGAAAAAAAAAAAAAAAAAAAACTTTTTAAGATATTTTAGAAAGTAGAAAACATACTTTATCTTTGTAATTAATCATATTAAAGCATATTATTATTATTTTTTTTTTTAAAAAAATTATAATCATAACAACTATGATTAGTCCCTTTAATGATATTTAAGAAATGTTTAAGTGATAAAAACTTCGATAACAGTATCCTGAATTGATTGCCAAATATTCGTAAAATTTTGCAATGTTCTATAATTTATTGAGAAATTATCTTCTAGCGATGTTTTTAAATTTTCCATTAGTTTTTTTCTTTCAGCTACGCATACTTGAGCATTTCCTATTTCTGCTTCTTGTGATGCGACTAATTCTGATAACTGCAAATTTTCCGATTTACTTGAAACGGACTAAATTAACTAACTTTTTTACCTAAAATTAATTAATACTGTTTACATTTTAATAATTAAATGTCAGAAATTGTCCCTATTGATAAGTTATTTGATTAGTTGATAAGTAGTAACTTACCGAAAAAGTAACACCACCAATAATGATAAAAAGTGGAATGATGAATAAATAAAACAAGAAACATAGCCTTGATCGACTTCTCGGCGTATTCAGTTTATAATATAACCTAAAGGTAAAATTGTTAATGAATAATTTTAATTATGAAAAATTAGAAGTATAAATGACAATGTTAATGTAAAATAAAAGAAGATTGTAGGTAAGCAATGAGAAGAAGAAAAAAATATAATTAAGGTAAAAAAGCGCATTTAAATTAAAATTTAATTAAAATTTGCTTTCTTTACCTTTCAATTTCCCTAGTTTCATTCAGTTCATGTTCTTCATGCGTCATCTTTTGACTTTTCATACAGCGTTTCGTTATCAGTAATTTACTTTGAAATATAAACTTGAAATAACTAAATTATAAACTTAACAGTTTTGTTTGTTTTTAATTGTGCAAATTTTTAAGTATGCAAATTGTTGTATGCAAAAAAAAAGTTCAAATATTCAAATTTTGCATAATGAAAATTTAAAACAGTATAAAAAAAAGGCATTACTATGCTTCAATTCATTGTCAGATTTATTTCACATTGACTGGTTGCTTTTGATCAAATTCATCTGATAAGAATATGGCGGAATGCTATAGTCCAAAGGTGGTGGAATTCAGCGAAGATCTTAAAACAGTAAGTTTCAATTTTAAATTACTTTTGATTAAACCTCTCTCTACTTTTGCTATCATGATATTTTGCATGATAAGATATGATTGCTTATACTATCGATAAAATTTAAGAATTCAATGATTTTGAAGAATTCTTGAATTAATTATAGATTAATCCATTCAGATATAATACAGAATCTCATATTTGATCTAAACAGTATTTATCAATTGAATAATTTTTCCCAGTCAAAAAAGGAAAAAAATTTTTTTTTTTTTTTAAATAAATATTTTTCAGCTTATAGAATTACCACCAAAAGAATCTTGGCTAACTGATAAGTGTAAATATATGGAACACGGCAAAGTGTTAACTAAAATTAGTAGTAACAAAATTTGTTGCTTACAAAGACAGCCTATCACTGGATGGCATTTATGCTATGTTATTCGAACAATCGATGATATTCTCATTATTTTTATAACTCCTGATAAGGGTAATGAAGGATGCATCTGAGAATCTGATAAAATCATTATCATTTAGAGAATGATAATGATAAAATCATCACTGCTTCTTAGCATTAATATGTTCAGTAATTCAGTTATCAAAACTTTTGCTCAACTATTAGATATTTACCAAAAAGTCTTATTTTGGTAAATAGTACAAAGATTTAATTACTAATAAAGGAATAACATATTTCAAAAACAGGTTGAAAGTTTAATTTACCAAATGAAATATATGTTTTCTTGACTTTAAAATTAGACTTTTGCTCAGCTAATCTATTCTTTGCACTAGCGATTAATTAATACATTTTTGAAAAATAAAAGTAAATAATTTTAAAGATAAAATTATCATCTGTCATTCATATATATATATTCGAAATGAATGGTTTTTTTTTTTTTTTTTTTGAATTTCTTCTTTCCATAACTCTTGTAATTTGTTTCAATGATTTTCAAAGTTGCAGGCTTTGTTCTCAATTTAAGCTCTGCTATATACATGAGAATATCACGCAAGAAAACTTCCGTAAATAAAGTAGGTTTATCTAATCATTCATTGATTCGAGTAAATTTATCTAATCACTGATCAGGAAAGGATGCCAAACACTTTCACACATTTTTGTAATTAAATTTATCAGTAATATTGCAAAAAAACAAAAAATTACATAGAAAATATTGCCAAGATATCATGCAACTTTTATATAAAAAAAAAAAAAACATTATTCTTATAAATATTAGTAATTATTAAATTGAAAGTTTTATTGCTTATTGTGAATATTATTATTGCAGAGAATGAGTAAAGTTAAAGTAAAGTGGGCATTTGGGAAAGTCGAGTTGAAATTTACGGAAAACCAAATTCTTATCTGGCGTCAAAGGTTCCTGTCATCATTCGGACAAATCGGTGATGAGACCAAAACTTCTACAATCATTAACTCAAAGATACAAAGTGATAAATCTGATAAGAATGAAAGAGATTATGGAGGTCATTTTCTCGCTTTGCAGAAATTGATAAATCCTCAATCATCTATTATTGATATCAATGTTTTTTTTTTTTCCTTCTTTCTTTATTAATTACTTACAATTCTCATCAATGCAAACAATTACATCAAGAATAGCTTTCTTCCGCACTTTTATCTTAAAGTCTCTCAAATTAAAAAAAGAAAAAAAAAATTTCAGAGCGGGACACGACAGATTCAGCATTGAGTTTAAATGGCAAATATCATTTGCTTTCGCATTCATCGAAATCATCCGAAAATTCCCAACGCATCGGACCAATTATATTTCACTCAGAAATGGAAAAGACTGCGTCAGCATTTTGAAATAAATCAAAACCAATTTCATTTTTTGTAGAAGCATTTTTTTAAACGAAATGTCCTTCATCGATACAATACTACTGTTCTATGTTTGCAAAAAAAAAAAAAAACCTTTATAGAATCACTCCTGCATTTGTCTCTCGCAAGAAGCAAATTTGTAACTGTCTACGAGGCTTAATTAATCGCGGCAATACGAAATACTCAAGAAACAATGTTTTCAAAGTAATTCAACGAAACAAATGTCAGCAATATTCAATAACAGCTTAATGGAAAATGACAATTCAAAGGTAATAATCAAAAGACTTAAATGAATTTAATATTTGAAGTTCACAATTTGTTTTTCAGCATTCATTTATCAATCATTTTAAACTTTACTCTACGCACTTCTAATAATATATTTTATTCTAACAATTCCACTGCATTTTTGCAACATTTGATCTGCTCTATGAATTAGCAATACACAATGCAGCTGTTATGCAGTTATAATGTTGCATTCGCTACAATTTTCAATGTTCAAAGAATTAAAATCCTTATGCTCAACGCTGAAATAAGCTTTTAAAAGAGAAAACAATACTTTGGCAGTCAATGCAACGCAAATAGATGAAAAAAGTTATAGCACTGATTAAAGATGTACAAAATTTGACAAAATTACCAGAAAGCATCGTGTGAAGGAGCGACTGATTTTGATTCTGATATGCTCTTCTCACATCAATCAATATTCCAAATTCGGTAAAAATTGGAAAAACTTTTTTAAAAGCTTCATGACTGTCTTCTTGATAAAATGAAAATGTGTCTCCATTATTTTGAAGGCAGCAACTGAATAAAACCATCCGTATATTTTGCGCGATTTTACAATACAATAAAAAAGATTAATAAACCCTGAATTCTCTAATCAAATTTACGCAATAAATTTAAAAGCAAGAACGGTAAATATTTTCTTGACAATACTTCATGCAAAACACAATAAAATATGGTATAATGCAGTATATTCTCAATCACGGCGTATTTAATGATGGACATCAGCTAATAAGCAGCTCTCAATACTAAAAATACTGTTTTGAGGAAACACATATATGCATATATATATACAAGCATTCCTGATTTATACTTACAAATATTATTTAAAATTATTTACGGATTTCACAACATTTCTTAATTCCAATTCACTAAAATGTATGTTCAGACAACAGCACCAATAAATGAAACACATAGTATAAAAAAATGTCTGCAATGAAACAGTGCAATAGTATAAATACAAACAGACATTACTGTAGGTAAATCTGCAAAAAAACTGAGGTAGACAGGGATGGACAAAAACCACAGCTTGAGAATTTTAGAAATCAAACTCAAAACAACAGATGAGGAAATCAAAAGAAATCATCTCTGATGTTACAAAATATATGATCCTCATATGGGAAAAAATGATGTGTTATCAAACATACGAGTTTGTTCAAAGATTTGAGTTTGAACAACTATTGCTTACGACAAAACTGACCATTATGCATAATTTACTACATTTTTGTTCTCTGCCTAACTTGATTCCCTAAATAATACTTGCATTTCCCCGAGAGTAGTTCTAATCCTATCCCGTGTTTACTTTATACACTAAATATATACACTAATTTCATTTCATATTTGCTTCACCATATAACTTACAACTTGCTATCTTTTTGCTTTAAAATTAAATTCATTAAAATGACTTATACTTTATTCCTGTCTAATAATAACCACTGATATCATATCATCTTCAATAGATACAGCTTATCACTTATCCCGTGTTTACTTTATATACTAAATATAGACATCAACATAGGATGTAATGACGGAACGACACAATGGACATAACGGCTCCTCATAGGTTTCTAACAATTCTTCAACGCAATTAGCACACACACAAATGTGGTTACAAGGCTGCAGTAAAATGGATTTCTCATGAATGAAACAAATACAACAAGTAATCCGACTTATATCGTCAGCACCACAATTCGAAGAATGTCTTCTTAATCGATTTGATCTGGAAATTGGAATCATCCCTATTAATTTCATGCATAGATCGCATAAAAAACTCACCGGCAAAAGCAGTAAATTTAGCACATTCACAATTAATGGATACAAATAGAGAAAAGCAGTATGGGTGAGGCATCGACAATTCAGGGCAATAAATCGTATCGAAGCATTGCCAAATTGCACAATGGAGATTTGCTTAATGACAATGATAAACGCAGTACAAGTAAGGATCGAAATTAAGGAAATCACTGTTAGTATGAATGGATGGGAGATTAACAAATTTAACAAAGCACAAAACGGCCAAGCTATTAAACAAGTGATTTCATGAATGAGAAGATGAAAGATTGAATACAGTAAAATAAGTAAAAAAGAGCAAGAACTTGCTAACACTTCCAAGGGTGACCCAATATTATTGATTGTTTCCAGTAATCGTAAGATGACATTTGCAAAGAGTGATATAACTTCATTACATATGCTGGCGTATTGATCTAACAAATCTGCGAATGGCCCTAAATTGGCCAGAAGTGTTTCCTGCAAGATAAATACAAAATGACCAACTCGTTGGGTCATAGTTAACCGTAGAGAGTTGGAAAATCGAGAGAACCATTATTCTGAATAAATTTTCTGCAACTTCTCAATATGAGTCAGTAACTAGCTACACAACTGAAGTTCAGTGATAAAAACAGCATCACTTCAAATAAAAAGAAGTATAAACTAAATTCAACATTCAAGCGTGAACCTTTCTGACCTGAACTAGCAAATATAAAAAAAAAAAAAACTGCAAAGTCGTAATTACCTTTCCAATACTAGCTCCTTGTACGGTACTGACATCACCGAAACGGGCTTCTGAGAACTCTCGCGAATCTTTCAAAGCTTCAACCCCAAACATTATATCGAAATGGAATTCATTTCAAAGAAAAAGATTACATTCCCAAATACAAATTATTGTCTAAAAAAGAAATTTAAAGGATGACAATCAAATCAGCAATCTGATTTGCAAACTAAGAATTTTTATTATATTTTAATATTAATAATAAGATAATAATAAGACCAAATCTTTCACAAGACAACTATCATTTCCAATTAGAAAGACAAATATCATATCATAAATATCAATGCTTAATCCTGAAATGTTACCTCACTGAATACACACCGGAAGAAATCCGTATCGGCAGATCTTGCTTAGCAGTAGCAGCAACAACAACAATAACAGCAAATGTTCTGTTGTTGTAGCACAGGTGATGGTGTGGAACGTAATGAAAACAAATCCCACGCTATTCGAACAACAATAGGAGAAGTTCTATGGTGTAATCAATCAGTTAGAATAGAGGGAAGAATAAAGTGATAAGCTGGAGAACTTATGAAAGATAAATAAATTCGCATGGTTTTGAATGTATTCGTAGTGCTGTACCGATGACACTACAACATCATTCCTGTATATCACATTGACTAGTAATAAGCTAAATAAGCACTAACCAAAGTTTATAATTCTCTTTGAATTCTTAATTGTTTGAGTCTCGTAACTCACTCACATTTCCCAAAATTTAAACAGTATAAGCAAAAACTTCACATTAAATATTAACTTTTATGAAGCTGTCAATTTATGAAAACTAACTGAATGTATGGAGGAAATACAACTGCCAATAATTCTATAAGAGAAGAAAAAGTGCATGCATTAAGTCAAGTTTTTTTTTTTTTTTTTTTTAGAGCAAAAAATAAGTGTAAAAAGTGAAAGAAACAAGCTTTAAATATAAACGGAAAATTCTTTTATATATTGGAACAGAAAGTGGCAAGCATATAGCCTCCTGAATAAATTCACTACTTTTTACAAATTAAATGGGCAGCAAATTAATAACAGTAAAAGAAAAAAAATGTCCTACTGGGACAATATTTGATGAACATGAATATTTCATTCTGCTCTTTAGAAGAAAACGCAACTGGAATAACTTAGTGTCTCTTATGTACCAGAGCGCTTGAGAAAGTGAGGAGGATACAAATGAGTTCATAAAACGTAAATGAGTGCGACAATAGAGCAAATCCTTTAAAGCATGCTTAAATCATACTCTTTTAGCGGTCTATGAACATACATTACAACATATGAAAAATGGATATAAATAAGTTATAATAACGCATCATTAGGCCGACAAATTCGAAATATTCAAAAACTGATCAGGTATTCCAGTGCAGCAAAGACAAATTCATTAGGCTTGAAATTTCAATATTAAAAAAAAAAAAAAAAAAAACAAGCTTCTAATGAATATACAGACAACTAAACTAACAAAAACTATCTTACAAGTATGACTTGATTTATGCAACACAGAACTCCGAAACTTTGACGGTTTCTGGAAATGAACTTCATAAAGTATGATATAGAATATTGCATACGGTATGGCCTAGTTGTCTCAACTACTACCGGATTTCCCCTATTGCAGACGTCAAAGTTACGCAAATTCTGAATTATACCTGAAATTTTGAGTGAATATTGCTCCAAATGAGCAATCTAGATAACAGAACACGTAATATTGGAAATATGTACAAAAGATGAACAAAGATTGAAACAATTAAAAAAGAAAGAAAAACAAAATACTTTGTAACTACATCTGCTAATAAGTAGGACGGAACTTTCCACATCTATAGCATTATAGAAATAGCACCTATTATATGAGAACTTTTTGTTCAAGACTAATATTTTCTTCCAAGATAATGAAGTACAAAAATTATGAGTAAATGACTGGGTGGATTAATGCGCTCTCTTAGAACTATACAAAATGTTTAACAGTAAATCGTGATGAGAGTATATTCCTGAATATAAATTGCACTTTTAGAAGTTTCAAATAAAAATTTTATTTGGAAATGGAGGAAGGTCTTAGTTTTGGGGTATTTCAAAACTGCAATAAAAATGGCAAATTTCTAAACTTTTCACAAGAATGCTTTTAAGTGTTAACTGCAGAATGTAGCTAAATGATACAAAAAAGATAAACAAAAACAGCAGAACTTTG